CCTTTTTAGACTAGTAAATTAAAAAAAATTATGAACAACCTTCAAATTTTGAACTGAAACTTCTAGAAATTTATTATTTTTTGGTCTACGAAATTATACCGCAACGAGAAAAAAACTTGAATTAAAAAAATCGGTTTTTAGCGATTTTTGAAATCTTAAAAAATTTGGATAATACTAATTTTTTTTTAAGCTGTCCTTTTGAGGGGGTTCTTAAAACATTGCGCCACCCTAATGTAGACAGCCCAACATACAGTATTATGTGTAGACAACCCAACATACATAGTGACAAACATCAGATTTCCTAGACGTTGCTGCGAGGTCGAAACAGTTTCTAGTAGAAACTTTCTACGAGTACAAGTTACGAGGCGATACAAAGCAAAATAGAAAGAGTGAAGAAGCGATAAAGTGTGCGATATAGTGGTCAATTAATAATTAATTAATAATAGTGGTGTTGATTAAAAAGTAAATAGTTAAATAAATTAGTGAGTAGTCAAAACGTGACATTGCTCTTCGATATTTTATGTGATTATAATTAAATAAAATTAACAAACAAACAAATTCGAAGTCGTCAGTGTTCTGTCAAAACTGCCAGACGCGGATCGCGATTTCGATCTTTCTGGATCTCATCAGCGCGTCACAGACCAACTCTACCTGTTGCCTTAACACAGCGTTTTATGAAATCCTACAAATAGCGCGGTAAACGCCATCTGTAGTACAATGCTACATTCATTCATTCTGTAGTACTACAGATGACGTTTACCGCGCCAATTATGGTATTATATAAAACGCGCTGTTAAGACTGCAGGTAAAAATTGGTCTGTGAAGCGCTGATTGGATCCAAAAGATCGATATCGCGATCCGCGTCTGGCAGTTTCGATGGAACACTGATCGCTTCCAATTTGTTTGTTCGATTTTGGTAACGTGCCTCTCACGTAGTGGTGAGGTACGCCGTGGATACAGTTCGGCAAGTATATATCGATGTGTTTATATGGACCTTGCTAAGTATAATGAATTCCACTAAAAGTAGCATTGTACTACAGATGGCGTTTATCGCGCTATTTCTGGTATTTTATTAAGATTAATAAAAGAAAAATTAAAAAAAGATCAGTTAATTATTATATGTTTATATTAAGTCCTTTAAAAATGTAACATTAAGAAAGAAACATTTTAAAATCTGCTACTCCTTTTTCTTCCCGTATATTTCGTATCTGGTTTAACTTCTTTGCCTTGCCTTCTTCGTCTTTCTTTCTTCTCTAATATCCAATTTCTGCTACATTTTAGTGATTTTAATGCTTTCCCTTTTTTAATAGATTCCCTTTTCGCATATAAGGCATCTAAAATTTAAAATGTTTTCCTAAATAATTCAAGCAGAACATATAATAAAGATCAAATAGTTAGATATTCTGCTAATATTAAACCCAACAGGTGAAAAATATAAATTTAAAATGTATTACGTACTATTCGAATCGCGTTCTGTACCAAGGCCTTTGGGCAGGGACATATTTCCTCCTGTCATTAAAACTAAAAAAAATTTTTTTGCTTTTGTTGAATTGGGGTAATCTACAACAACTCCACCATAAAAACCAGCTTTCATAGCTTGAGTGGTCAGAAGCTCCATCTGATTACTATTCTCAGGATAAAACTGTAACACGGCTCTTGCAGACCTTGACTGTAAAAGGTAAATGAATGATAATAAAAAATATACCTAATTACTGAAAAAATGTAAATCTTGAATTATAATTTCTTTTTAATAATTTTTCATATTAATTTTGAATTTTATCTATACTACGTGTTAAGTAGAGAATGTCAGTAGAAGCCCACAGCGTTCTATCAGACAATACCCCAAAAGAAATTTAACAACTACGATACATATGTTGTCAATTTTTACTTACAAGACATGCATAAAGTGAACTAAAGAATTTATACAATCGCTGTACTGGTTTGTGAGAAGATTTATCAGCATTGCATAGCCACTGTAGTGCTGATATACTGATAGCACCATCAAATGTACCAGCCCTAAACGGTATGCCTTGTCCCATGTCTCCTTGTAGTATGTCTCCTTCCACCTCTCTATCAACTGCCACCTCTTCAAAAGCAAACACAGATTTTCTAAATAAATCTAAATTAATTGATAGTGTTTACCTAACATAGCAGGAGAAATATCAATACCAACCCATGTGTGACCCTGTTCTTCCAAAACACTTCCACTAAGACCAGAACCACATCCAATATCTAATAAGTAGCAAGGAGTATCTTCAGGTAACAGAAGTAATTCAACAGCACGGTCGCTCATTTGAACTTGTACATCAATAATCCTAGAACTATTTTTCAATTATTTTATTGTCTAATGACGCTTTACTCTTATTACATACTTTTGAGTGTACTTCTTGGCCTCCACTTCATCATAAAACTAAAAATTATCATTAAAATAATGTTACCACAATGTACTACTGAATTGCTTACAATTTCAGGTGGTGCTAAATGTTCAGGCCTCGACATCGTATATTACTAACAAAGTAAAAATAAAAAGGAAATATTATTAAAATCATGAACTACTTTTAAATAACTTCTACTGATGGATGAGGTTAATAGATAATGTGAGGTTATAATACTATCTATGACTAATACCATAGAATACTATGGGTTCTTTGATTATAATAGCTCAAGTATGTCCTTGAATATATATCATGTCTGTGGTATTAGTCCTTGAAAAATATAGTGTCTAAAGACCGCATGGACAACATACATGCTTTGTAACAATTAAAATGAAAAAATGATGAGTGTGGTACAGAAAACAATTACCTAGACACAAACTTACCGTAGTTACCACCACAGTTGCTTATTACAGACACATGTCTCGACCACTTTTAATGTTGGCATTATGAATGCAAGACTGGTTCTATTGTTTTATAATGTTTTATAAGTTAAAATTTGACTAAAACCTAACATTTTAGAACCAATCTCGCGTTTGTATTATCCACGCTGAAAGTGGGTGAAACTGTGTTTGTAGTGAACAGTTTTTATGATGAAGGCATCCATGTTCCACTAAAATTAAATAGTTTACGGTGTCCATTGCATAACAATTATTTTTAAAAGAGGATTTCGTTATCTATGGTATTTGACAGACTAAATGAAATGTTGGTAGTTGTAATTTGTGGTTAGTATTTTCAATTTTCAACAATTTTCATGAAATAGCAACCAATTTCCCGAAGGTGACGGTTAGTAAACAAATATATAATTGTTTTAATTACAGTTGTCACAGTTCCCTAACGAATAAATCGTCACTAACTATTGATTGACCATAATCGTTTATTGTTAATATTGTTTGTCCTATTTTAGTTATTGAAAAGAGGGTACAATGCTTCTTCAAGACTAGTGTATTGTATATTTTCAAATTATCTGTATAAACATGGCTTTGAAAAAAGTAAAGGGAAATATAGAGCGAATGTTTGATAAGAATTTGACGGATCTTGTACGTGGTATCCGAAATAATAAAGAAAATGAAGTAAGTATGAAGAGTTTAAGGTTATGTTGTTTTTTCTATGTTGTAATATTTTAATTTGATTTTAGGCCAAATATATAACTCAATGTATGGAGGATATTAAACAAGAACTTCGACAAGACAACCTAGCAGTAAAAAGCAATGCAATTGCTAAATTAACATATGTTAGTAAACACATTAATTAGTACATATTGTTATGCTTTTAATATCATAAGTAGTGTTGCGACTATTTGTAATGATAAAATCGTCAGGGGAGGTTTTTACACTTTATGGTTCGTTAATGTTAATGCCATAGACAGTAGGTGCAATGTGGTGACTGATACTTTACTTAAAATGCCTGACTGTACGCAGCAACAGTAACATTCACTTTGAGTTGTCTTTCCTTCCCTTAACTCAACCTAACTGAATAATTGTATTGTTTTGCTTTAGATCATAAAGTTGTTGTTGGGAAAGACAACACGAACATAGTAAGTTTACGTCGCCACACACTTCCTTTTGTTTACTGCAATATGATAAAATAAAAAGAAATTGATAGTTTTATCATTTCCCTTCACCCATGTCTGGGGAAAAATCACAGTGTATAATTAAATGTAACATTCTAGCTTCAAATGTTGGGATATGACATTTCGTGGGCTGGTTTTAATATTATAGAAGTAATGAGTTCTAACAAATTTACTTTAAAACGAATAGGATATTTAGCAGCAAGTCAATCTTTTCACAGTGAATCTGAGGTATATTTTATTGTATTTAACTCCTATTGTTTATGTTAAATAATTATTTACATTTTAAGCTTCTAATGTTAACAACTAATATGATTAGGAAAGAGTTAAATTCTCAGAACCAGTATGAAGCTGGTCTTGCCTTAACTTCGTTAAGTTGTTTTATTAGTTCCGATCTTGCAAGAGATCTGTCCAATGATATACTAACTCTTGTAAGTATCCAGTTTGTTTGTATAATTTTAATGTGTTCTCAATTACTCAAATGCACTTCCAGCTTAATTCAACAAAACCATATGTCAGGAAAAAAGCAGTCTTAATGATGTACAAAGTATTTTTAAAATATCCAGATGCTCTTCGACCAGCTTTTCCACGACTTAAGGAAAAATTGGAAGATCCAGATCCAGGTAGGCATTAAGTATATGCATATAAACAAATTTGGATAACTTAATATTTTTTTGTAAATTATTCTATATAGTTGTGATTGTTAAATTACATTTAAATGGTTTCTTCATAAAAAACAAAATTTAAAGAAGTCAGAATTACTAAAATTTATTATTTTTTAAGGTGTCCAGTCGGCTGCAGTTAATGTTGTATGTGAGTTGGCAAGAAAAAATCCAAAAAATTACCTCAGTTTAGCACCGATGTTCTTTAAATTAATGACAACAAGTACTAATAATTGGATGTTAATAAAAATAATCAAATTGGTGAGTTGCTGATTATGTTGAACTATTTTGTAAGAAATATTCATAAAAATTAGAACCATAATTGCTTTTGAAATTTTCTGAATACATTTTCATTAAATAAATAAACTTCATAAAAAAATACATAGTGGTTGCCATTGATGTGTAACATCTAACATCAGTAATTGAGCTAAATAACAATTTCACAGCATAAGCTACATGGTAATGCAACGTGCTGTTCAAAATCAAGGTGATCAAATCAAATAGTTAGCAGTTAGGTATTTTTTCTCCTTATCCCTTTTTTCTCTGTCTTTTCAAGTGAAAACTGTAGGTAAAATTGAATAGCGCGTCTTTCTGACTCTTTAAGCGGTAAGATGTTGCACTTCAAAAAATATTTTTGTGTACTAAAACAATTTCGATTCTTAAGAGGACCTTATTTTATATTGTAATGTAAAATTATATTTTTTATTAGTTTGGTCATATGACACTGGTCGAGCCAGCAATTGGTAGAAAGTTAACAGTTCCTTTGATAAAAATTGTGACAAGGTACCTAATGACTTCCTTAAACGTATTTATCTTTCTTTACTACGTATTATTCAGATGTAGGATGATTTATTAAAAAAAAAAAAGAAATCTCGAAACTTGGAGGAGAAACGTGAAATTAAAATATCCATTTTAAGTCAAATGTAATAGTAGTTGAAAATTAAAATTTTACAGTCATAAAATAAAAATATGTGAAAATAAAATTTTAATACTACTAAGGGGCAATTTTTCTACATGTTTTGTCTTAGCTCTCCTTTCTACAATATTTTATGAAAGTATTAAACAACCCTAATTGTATCTTTGAACACTATATATAATATTTTAAACAGGCAACTTTTAAAGTTTATTTTGGTTTCTTTAGTTTCGAGACTTGTTATTCAAAACTGCTTTGTATGCAGTAGTTATTTATTACCAATGAAATAGCAGTACTGGAACTTACTCTGTTTGTTTTTGTAGTTTGGAGCCCTTACCCCTTTAGAACCTAGGCTAGGCAAAAAATTAATAGAACCTTTAACCAATCTGATTCACAGGTATGTAATTTAATGCTTTTGCCTTTTTAATCATTTTTATCGGCGTGACCTTTTATTGCAGCTAGTCTTTAAATAATTAGTTATAAGAACGGAATTATAAAAAGTGAACAATAAAATCGATTTATTCAAAAGAACGTACATATCGTAACTATCAGACGTGGATTGCGATTTCGATTTCATTAGATCTCATCAACATGCCTTAGGCAGTCTTGGTCTTACCTTAGTAAGGCCATTACCTAACATTTGAAATACTTTAGTCGGCAGCTTATTCCGGTAGATGGCGACATAATGCCGTAACTTGATATCACCGTTTACAGTTCCGTTTTTTTTGTTTTTGTGGTCACGTCGTCAAAAGTGTTTGTTCATGTGAAATAAAATAATAGCTTATATTTTTAAAGTACGACTGCAATGAGCCTTCTCTATGAGTGCATTAATACTGTGATAGCTGTTCTAATAAGTATTTCGTCAGGGATGCCCAATCATTCCGCCAGCATTCAGCTATGTGTTCAGAAATTAAGAATCCTCATCGAGGACTCTGATCAGAACTGTAAGTTTTGTTGACTTCTATTTATTTATATTAAATTTTACATTCTTTATTGAAACACATTACACATTTTGATACAGATTATAAAGGGTGCTTAGAAAATTTGTGAATTTATTTTAGCGTTGTTTATTCTGTATACTTACTGAACTTACTTTATCCTGTTTCTTTCCTTATCTTATTATTATTTCTTTTAATACAGTGAAGTATTTGGGTTTGCTGGCTATGTCAAAAATTCTAAAGACACATCCCAAGAGCGTTCAGGCTCATAAAGATCTTATTTTGCAATGCTTAGAAGATAAAGACGAGTCGATACGTCTTCGAGCCCTGGATCTTTTATACGGAATGGTACGTAAGAAATCGTGTCTATGTACTACATCACATTTATTCAAAGTTCGAAAAGAAGTGGTCATCATGCCATTAACAGTTGCAAACAATTTTCTGTCTGACATATATGAATTAAACTATCCTAGAAGCGATCAACCAATAGTGACTTTTATGCATCAAGAATATGTTATTTATACTGTCATAAACTCCCCCAATTCAATGAATGGAGCATCAAATTGTCTGTCATCCATTAACGCAGTTGATAGATAAATATTAATGCCACTAACTTAAAAAAGTCACTAGAATAATTATTTTACTACATTCGAAATAATTGATTTGTTTTAATTATTGTGTAGTCATTAGGAATACGCGGTAGCGGAATACTCTATTTGTTCTTCGACGATACAATGTTTGAAGTTTGAAATTTGTCCGTACTTTTTTCCTTTAAAAAGTTAAGCGGTTACACCGTACTACATATATCGGGCATTTTTGGGGTGTTGTATGATTGTAATAATTTAATGTTTCAGGTATCTAAGAAGAATTTAATGGAAATAGTTAAAAAATTAATGATACATATGGAAAAGGCTGAAGGTACATTATACAGGGACGAGCTCCTTAGTAAAATAATATTGATTTGTTCTCAAAACAATTATCAATTTATTACAAATTTTGAATGGTACATAACCGTCTTAGTAGAATTAGCTCAAATGGAATTTGGATCAAAACAAGGTATTTGTTTATTATTTTGTAATTATTGTCACTGATTCACTATATAACTTACTTTTCCCAATTTAAATTACTTTATTTTTTTAATAAGGTATAAAGGAATACAACCATGGTAAAGTTATTTATTTATTAAAATGCCTTTTTAGCTGCTAAAGTCGAAAACATAATTGAATAGTTGCTATCCCCTGTCGCCTGTAGTTTTTTTATTAACTGATAAACATTTCTTATGCTGTACATTTTTTGAGAGTGATTGCTCCTCCATTTTGTACTTGTGGAACTATTTTGAATTTTCAATTTATATTTTATATACTTCATTTTGTTGGCGTTGGTGAGGTATGTTGTAATGTATTCAGAACACTAACTAATTGTTCTGCTTTTCTTTAATAAATGAATATATTCTGGTAGTTTATATTCATACAAAAATTACCAACAGGTTACGTAATAGCTTCTCAACTAATGGATGTCTGTATTCGAGTGCAAGCGATAAGGCCCTTCGGTGTGTCCGAAATGGCCCAAATAATCGAAGTTTATTCATCAACCTCACAATTTTCTATTATGCAAGACGTTTTGTACGCAGCTGCGTGGCTATGTGGTGAATTTTCGAGGTATATGCTTTTATTTACTTTATTGGTTAACGACTCCATTAAAAGATATTTACTATTACTTCAATACTATAAAATCAAATGAAGAACTGGGTAATTGACCTAAATTCAACAAGAAAACCTAAACCGCGTTTCGACACTCAAGGTGTTATTTTGTTACAGAATCAAACCCAAAATTTAATTACGAGAACGGTTCTCCTCAATATTATACATATCTAAATATTATGTAAAATGTTATTGGTGTTTCAGTAATTAATGTTTTAGTGATCTCAAAGACCCTGAGAAAACCCTCACGTCGATGTTGAAGTATCGCAATTTACCTCCTCACATTGAGGCTGTTTTTATTCACAACATTTTGAAGTTATATTCGCGCATTGTGGCTAATTGTGAGGCAACTGAAGATTACGGAAAGATTTTCTTAGTTTGCGATACAGTAACTGAAAAGTTAAGCGAAAGCGTTAAATCGGCCGAACTTGAAGTCCAAGAAAGAGCTAGTTCTAGTTTGGAAATAGTAGCTATCGTTAAAGAAGCCTTTTTAGAACGTAAGTCACTATATGTTTTCAAGTTTATTTTTATGGTTTTAATTTAGCCAATGGGAATTTTATTTAAGAAAATTTGTTTAACACAATTAAGAAACAAATCATAATTGTTTGGACATTTACATTTTTAATTAATTATTACAGTTTCCTTACAAACTCAATTAACTAGTAGTGGTTTATATTACTATCGTTCTCATTTCTCTTATTTACAAATCGAACCCAACAAGCACGTTTTTAATGAACGTTAGGAGGCAGAAATTCTATAAATATGTTTCTGTATCAAAAACGTTTTACAATTTTTAGTACAACGTGATAAAACCGTTAACGGAAACGACGTTTTGCCTGACGAAACAACATGTTCCCTCTCTTCCGAATTGTTGTCTCTTTTTAGTGGCGAGTTGAATCCTGTTGCCCCTAAGGCGCAAAAGAAGGTTCCGGTGCCTGAGGGGTAAGTACTATTTTCTGCCATCTGGAGTGAAGGGGTCGGGGGGAAATTACACACTTATTTTTCTCGCAGGCTGGACTTAGATGAGTGGATTAACGAACCACCTGGAGAGAGCGAGTCCGAAAGTGAGGAGGAGATGAATGAGAATATTTTTGTTAAATACGACAAGTCAGACTATGCAAAATACGAACGAGTCCATTATGAGCCAACTGAAGAAGAAATTAGTAAGGTAATTAAATTGTTGCTTATTTTTTTTATATTTAGTGATTGAAGGAGAAATTTAATAAGGTCTGAAATTGGACCTTGTGTTTTAATATAATCAAATAATCTTACATCTTAATTCTTCATTTTTATAAAAGGTTTTCTAAAGAAAATTGTTTTATATTGGAAAATTTTTACTATTATTAGAGTAGAGAAGCAAGAAAACTGGAACAGCAAAATAATCCGCACTACCTGAAGGGTTCGATAGAAAAGGCAAACAATGGTAGATGGGATGGTGATATCGGGGAGAGTGTGGACAATATTCCCATAGCTCGCATTGAGCTGCCCGTGCAACTCACTGTCATCAATCAGAAAAGATCCGACAGGTATTTAAATTTAGATAAAGCCGAGAAAAAAGGTCGTCCATCTAAAAAGAAGAAGAAGTCAAAGAAAGAGAAAGACGCAAGGTACGCAAAATGGCACTTACAAGAAAGATGTGAATTAATCAAAATACAATATAATTTTATTACCACTAGTTCTTCTGAAGAAAATGAAGTGAATTCAGCTCCCAACTTATTGGTTCTTAAAGACATGGAATTGCCAGAGGGAGCCACATTGTCGGATTCAGAAAGCAGTAATGGAAATCCTGACGATCCACATAAGGCTCTTGATATAGATTTGGACTTGTACGTAACTTTTTTTTTTTTATAAAACACTATTAATAATAATAGTACTGAATCAATACCTTAGTGAAATATTTTTAAAAAAATGAAAGTGAACGATCGTTTTAAAGGTCTTGACATGTTTTGGTTTATAAAACAGAGTCTAAAAATACTGCAAGTAACATTATTCTTGATAAATTAGTTTCGTTCTTTATGATTTATCATTTTCAGGCCTCAACCAGTATCTTACAAGCAAGAAAGGAAATCGTCTGAAGACAAAAATGCTCAAGAGAAAAAGACTAAGAAGTCCAAAAAAAAGGTACGTCGAATTAATGAAGAAAATAAGGATTTAACACTAAAATACATTTACTTTATACCATTACAGACTGATAAAGACAAAGAACGTGTGAAGAAGAAAAATGATGACGTGCTCCTTATGGACTTCGGAGCAGGAGGTGAAATAAAGAACGAGATAAACAGTAAAGAGAAAAAAGCGAAAAAACATAAAAGAGATAAGGAGAAGAAAAGCAGAGAAAAGTCGACAGACAAAGGGGGTATGTTCTGTTCATTTCTTTTTTGCAAATAGCATAATACATAAAAACATTTTTTGTTGCTTGTAAATTGTTTTTGATAATTTTTTTTTTCGTAATTCCAACAAGGTTTGGTGATTAATAATTAATATTAATGATCGATAGTATTATAACTAGGATAGTTAGGACCATCAAATCATTAAAATGGCTAATATTCAAGGTGACGCCCGATTTTTGATTAATTTTTTAGACATCCAGTGAAAGGTTCGTCATTGGACAACCTGTATAATAAAAATTTGTTTTGAATTATTCGGACTTAACAATTCTTCGTTTTTTCAGTAAAACAATCAAAGAAGACAAGAGGTTACGAAGAAGCCGTGGGTATATCTACACCAAGCAAAGAATTTCTGTAGTGTAAGAGTAAAAAATGCAATGTGAGACTCTCTAAAAACAAGAAAACTTTCCATTTGTTATTAAGCCATAAAAGAAAAAAGCAAAAAAATATTTATGTAAAAAGCCTAAAAATCGAAGTCGTATCGTCATTATAAATCTTTATTTTAAACGTTGGTACATAAAAAAATTAATGGAATTATTATTGTTGCTATTGTTATTTTTTAGTAATCGTTTAGGTTTTTTTGTCAGATAACATGTCCCACATTTGAAGATACCCTAATGCAATATTATAATACATTATATTAAAAAGGAAAAAAATGTTTAGTACTTTCAGGTGAAGCGTTATCATAATACTGGTGCATAGAATTCGTTATTCAATTTGTGCTTTATAAAAAAAATGTATTTTTATTATAGATTTTAATTATATATTACAATAAATTATATTGCAATATTTTAAATTTTGTAATGAGTATAAAATATTTCAACTTTTTCACACGAAACATGAATTCCATTCAGCAACAGAAGACGCGAAAGTGCTTTCTGATGAACAGGGGAAGGAATTGGTTTTTGGACTTCATTATACTTTAGCATATTTTAATTTCGTCTTTCCCAGTTTTCAACTATTTATTTAAAAACTGAGTACAATGATAAATTACAAAAAAAGGTACGTTGTTTAATATAATAACAATATAAACCAGAAATAAACACAGTATTCATACAAAAAAGCTAATATATAAATAAGTCTTATAGAATATAAATAGAACAAAAGGCAAGTTGAGAGATCGAAAACATGAATCAATAATTAATCTTATTTAAGTACCCACATATTTAAGTTACTGATAATCTATCCATGGTAATATAGATTTCAAAGATCTGGAAACTTCACTTTCTTCGTTCTCTTAATGTCTACATCAGAACTTCCATCCATGTCACTGGACAATCCTTCCAAAGTCTGCACTAATGAACTGGTAAAACTAAATTCGGATCCTGTGGCATCTTCCTCTTCATATCCCCTACTACAAACGCTTGATCCATCGTCATTCAGTTCCTTACCTTCAACGAGCCGTACTTCGTGCTCTAAACCGATATAGATCCCGCCTTTACCAGCTCCTCCCAATAGTCGAGGATGTTCGAGTTCGATACGGAAGCACTCGATTTGTTCACCGTCATGGTTCTGACCGATCCTAAACACTTCGATCGCCGTGAACTGAACAACATACAGGTAAGGGGAGTGGTAGTGAAACGCACGTGGTAATCTTGTCCATTTTATCTCACGATCTCTAGTTGCGCGTCCAAAAGCATCAACAAACGTCGCGAACTCACTGTAGCACAATAAGAACTCTTTTTCTGTCGCAATTGGTGCCACATACAAAGGAAACGAGCGCATGCGTTGACAGTACAACGTCGCATGGGCCAATCGAGGATCGGATGGGTCAATGAACTCTTCCGCTTCGAACGTGTGCAAGTCGACTTCGAAAAACTTATCTGCACCCACGAGAATACTGTGTCCCAAGAATAGCATACAACTGGTAGGTTCGGCCGTGTCGAGCACTTTAAGTGGCACGAAGTCATGCGATTTAATGTCGAACTTTAACACAATTAACTGCTTGGCAGTCGCTACGCATACTAACATTCTTTTGGTAAAGTCTGAACACTGGAAAGTATGGAAGCCGCTAAGATTGTTAACGTTGACGCGCTTTGTGGGCAAATAGGGTTTCGATGTCGAATCTCTTACCGATAAACTTTCCAAAAGGTTTAAATCACATGTTATCAAGTATCTTTTAACGTCGATGATCATTAGAGCAAGATGAACAGTAGGGAGTAATGCTATTTGCTGCACGTGATCAGGACCGGATATGTTTGTTAGGGGGTCGTTTCCAAGAGAATAAAGTCCTTGTTCTGTGCCGAGTAGCTTTTTACCATTGGATAGTTCCACGAGACAATTCACGTCTAGAGTTTCTAACCACGTTGCCACCACTTCTCCCACGTATTTATAATCCGATGTGCGTAACACTGATTGAAAGGCTTAAATTGAAAACAATACAATGATGTTAATAGTTAGGACGATGGACTTTATTATGGAGTCATAATCTGTTCTGGTTTGGGTCTAGATGCGAACCAGGACAGCATCAGTTCACCTACTGGCTGTGAAAGCCTTTACGAATTTGTCAAATATGTTTTTAAATATTTTCAAATATTAAGCTTCATGCAAATACTGTCATTGAAAAGTTAATATTTATACGTATGCAATTTCTTATTTCTAGGGGAACGCAATATTAAATTCATAAACAGGAGAATTTATTACTAAAAACGAATTTTAAAATTAATTAAATGGGAATTGATTTCTAACAATTCTTTAAACAAATTTAAACGCTTTGTATACATAATTAATAAAAAACTATAGAAAATTTTGTTAATAAGAAGAAAAATATCAGAAAGTAGAAAAGAAAAATTATTATTCAAAAACACTGCTTACCTCTAAACCATTTTTCTTTTTCTTCCTCATTAAGCGTCATCAAAACGATACTTTTTGGAGGCCAGCAGGTTGTGTTGGGACTTATTTCGACTTTCAAAGTGTAATTCAGTTCGTTTTCTGACACGGGGGTTTCGATTTCGGATTCAAGTGGATCCAATATCACCTTTCCGTGAGTATCCGGTTGACATAATTCCAAAAAATCGAGCGTAGTGGCATTTTTTCTAGTGGGGTATTCGGGATAAATTTTAAGAATGTTTGGCGTTAAAACTGCATACGTTTTTTCCCAGCCATTTTTGGATTTACTGGAAATGTAGACAACAATAAGGTATCCGAATAAAAATGTGTATATAAAATTGAAACTTTTGCAATACTCAATTTGAGATTCTGCACACTTTAGCTTCCTCATTGACAGTTTAAGTTTCAGTTTTTTCTAGTACTATTATTTTTTAAATGACGCATTTTTTAAATACAGGATCAATTGAAAATACCAAACATTATTTTTAGGAAATGTCTCCAATTGTTAAGCTATTTTATTGTTCCTGTCCACTTACTTTGGAGTTTTTACCCATCCCTCATTAACCACATTTTCTAAGGAAGACTGTCCGTTGTCATTTGAAGTATTGCTGACTGGGGGGATAGGAACTCTACTTTGCAAGCTGTGAGGAAAAGTGAGTAACTTATTAGTTTTTCCTACAGTAGTTAAAAGTGTTTTTTACCTTTGACTACTGCTTTTGTCCGAATTTTGACTTGGAAGTTTCTCTTTCAGAGGGGAACGTGCTCCTACTTCATTTAAATGAGCAGATAAAGAGCTATTTTGTTGAATTTTCTTTTGATACTCGTTCTCCTCTTTTTTTATCCTACTGCCGCTATTGGGGTGTTTAAACATTTCAATCTGTTGGTTTTTCTTCTTTTCCTTGTCCTGAATGTCTTTATTGTTTTGATAAAGTAAATAGTTTGTATTCTCTTTCTTCGAATGTCCAAACAACTTATCAGCGAAAGTTTTCTTTTTCTTGGCATCTTCCACCTAGAAAGCAAATTTATTTCCTGAGCTATTATGTGTCAGATAGTTTCAATTTATTTATCTACAATTTCCATTCATCGCATTAAGGTACATAAAAATTTAACTAAGAACATACCTTTGATTGTAGAAAATGTATCAACTTTATTTGTTGCTGAACTGTGGCATTATGTTTTAGTTCTCTGTCTTTGTAGTAGCTTGTCTTTTCAATCACCATGTTTTCTAATTCTGATATTCGATCCAAAAGGGCCAAATTTTCGTCCTAAAACAGAATAACGGTACTTAATTAATAATAAGACCCCACAGTAAACAAAATACTTCTAAAATAATAATTATTTATCACAAAAGACACAGAAACGTATACGTCGAATGTTTCACGAAAAGTTTATTTACATTTTTATTAATAATGTACTTTCACCAAGTAGACGCCAAATCATTTTCTTATCAAATATTTATACGATTATACTTACTTTGTATTCAGATATTTGTCGTAATAAATCATAATTCATTTCTTTGCTGTTATTCAAATTTGTAAGCTGAATGGAACAATCCTCTTTAAGTGCTTGATTTTCTGCATACAAATTTTCAATTTGCCGCTCCAATGTTTTTATGGTTATTTCAAGATCATTTATTCTTTCTTCGGCTAAGGTCAGTTCATCTGACAATGTCGATGAATAACTTTTAAACTCACAACACTGGTCTTTATACGATCGACATTCTTTTTGTAAACTTTCGACATCTTCTTGTAAACTTTTGTTCTTCGTTTCGGTCATAAGCCTGAAGGACTTTTCTTCGTTCATTTGCCGTTTAGCTTCGTTTACTTCTTGTTTAGTTTGAGATAAATCGTTTAGTAGTTTATCTATACGATTACAAAAATCTTTCTCTTTTTCCATGGATGCTTCATGAAGTTTTTCATATTCTACCAATTGGGATTCCAAGAGAGAACAGGCTTCTCTTAAAGCTGAGGAATTCTGAAGAAAATATTAGATACATGTTACCATTTATATGGAAAAAAAATTAAATGAACAAAAGGGAAAATAGAAATAGTTATTAAATTACACTTAGAGAATTAAATAAAAAGCTAAAAGTAGTGGCAGAAAAGGTTTGGGGTGTAGCAGAATACAAAAAGTAAATAAAGTGGATTACCATCTGTGTATTTTGTAACTCTCTTTTGTACTTTTCCATTTCACTTTCTGTCATAGTCTTGTCTTTTATCACGTCATCTAACTTATGTAGCAGTTCATTAATTTTTGATTGACTCTTTTCCAACTTAAATTCCAATTCTTTCTTTTCAGAGTCTTTGCTGTCAATCTTTTTTAATAAACTGGCGTTTTCCTTTTCTTTACTATTTATTGCAGATTTAAGTTCGTCAATTATGCTCTTCTCTTTATCAAATTTCTCCCTTTCAATTTTAAGAGTATCTTCTAAGCTACTTCTACTACTCTGCAATTTCATTACTTCTGTTGCCAAATTTTCGTTTAAATTGCTGAGTTCAAGCAAGGCACTTTCATAAGCTTTTTTGCTATCTTCCATTTGATTTTGTAACTTCATTATATCCTCTGATAATTGCTTGGCACGATCTTCAACTTCTTTTAGTTCCCTTTTAAGAATCCTCTTGTCGATTTCTGCGTTATCCAAGCTCTTTTCCATCCTCCAACATTTAATTTTCAATTGACTAAGTTCTTGCTTTTCCAATGCGGACGTTTCGTGAGCCTGATTTTTTATAAAAAGTTTATTAAATTATACCTGACACTTCTAGCATATTTATTATTCTAACAAAATATTTTATGTCTACAAATGATAATAAGCATTAAAAACTGCTTTATAAAAAGTTTGTAAACAACAGAAAAGTCGTGACCGATTCAAAAGATAATGACAAACAGATTAACCAACTTTCAAAACACGAAAGTTTTTAATGTAAAACGTGAAGTTAGATAAGTATTAAATGCTATTACGACAGCACTAGCATTGTATTGTTTCAACCGATGAAATTAGCTTCGAGCATATACTGCTGGAGACAGCTTGCTATGCTTAGAAACTATGACAATTAAATATCAGCAGAGAGCACAGCCAGTTCGCTTGACTCAAATGATAGTTACAAACGTTTTATCTCCTATTCTATCATATAGCAATATTAATTGATATTTTTAAATTCAAAACACAATTGCTTTCCTACAAAAGGTACATGCACTCTTAAAGAAGTGGAATTAAGTTAGGATGACAAAGTCTCGCGAGGGCGTGAGAGGTGATTACTTAAAACAGGAGACGTCATTTGAAATCACTAAACAAATCTTTACAATTTAATCTATTTTAAGATTTGTTATGATATAAATTTACCTTTGTTTACGAGGTACAAGATAATTTAACACTATACGACAAAATAAAATATATGCCTAGTTACACTATAATCTACCTATGAAGTGAATGGTGATATTTTTATAACGAAATTTTGCCGCTTAAAGGAAAGAGGTATGGCATCGTGGGGAGGGGGGGTTTACTAAAACGTTTTTCGTCTTTTCTTCGCGCTTCATAATATTTATTTTTAAAATGAAACTTACCTTTAAAAGTTGTTGTTCCAACCTTTCCACTTGCTCCTTCAAAACATTTTCTCTCTCAGTTTCGTTTTCTAATTTGGAAACGCCACTTTCCAGTCTCGCTAAAAGTTCTTCGAGTGTTTTCACTTTAACCACGTTCGTTTCGATGTGCACCTGCGCATGCTCAAGTTGGGTTGCCAAGCTTTCCTTCTCTGTCATCAATCTACTCATTTTCAACTGGAACTCTTGCGACATTCTTTCAAGATCATTCAAGCATTCGTCCAATTTTTCTTTATGCTTTTTTTCTGTGTTAAATAATTCTTTTCTTAACTCCTAAAAATAAAGTAGGTACCAATAAGATTTAGAAATATAAATTCAAGCTAAAAGAGACCACATTTTCTTCTTTACTAACATGCTGCAACACTAAAAGATTAAGACGATGAGAGGTGCTGTATCAAATTAATAAAATGATAACAGAAACATTTGTGCTATAGAGAAAAACATGACCCCCTTTCCATATTTATGTTTTTAATTAGGTTTTTCTTATTCCTTCCCTGAAGTTTTTTCATTTAACATAATTTCTTTACTTGTANCTTACAAAGTTGGCGTATGATTCGCCACAAATCAAACATTCTGTATTACTTTCCAACTTAGAACTTGAAGTCGATTCGTCCTTGTTTTTTCCAGATTTATTTTTGAAGGTCATTTTTTAAACTCCCCCTATCTTTATTATTGTCTTTTTTGTGCTATAGAGAAAAACATGACCCCCTTTCCATATTTATGTTTTTAATTAGGTTTTTCTTATTCCTTCCCTGAAGTTTTTTCATTTAACATAATTTCTTTACTTGTATGTATATCTGAACCATTATCAGGAAAACTTATTTCAATTTCATTTGAGCTGATTCATACTTACATCAATTTTTTGTTGTAACGATTTCCATCGAATTTGCTGCTCTTCCAAACGAATTTTTAACGACTCCTTTTCTTTGTCATTTCTTTGATTGTCTTTTAATTCTTTTAATTTTTTGGTCAATATTTCTATTTCATTACGTAAAGAAATGAGTTCAGTGTCTTTATCTGTAACATTTGAGGCAGTATGTTGAAGTTCCTTAATTGTTTCGTTACACGTTTCGACTTCCCTCTTCAAATTCGCTCGAGCCTCATTAGATAAGGAAAGTTGTTTCTTTAATTCAATTTCCGATTTTTTAAGTTCATCTATATGATTTTGCAAAACTTTTTTGTTATGAATTTCTTCAGACAACTTATTTTCTAAGTCGCACAATTGGTCTTGACATTCGGTGGTTATTTTTTCTAATCTTGACTCTAGGCCCATGACGCTTCTGCGATTCAAAGAATGAACTTTTTGTAGTGATTCCTGAACATAAACAAAATTAAATTCAATCAATATAATAGCTATAGTAAATTTGTCCTTTTACCTGTTGTTTATCTTTCATTTGCAGTGCCTGTTCTAACTGATTTCGCAAAATGTTGTTAGTGTAAGATAATTCTTCGATTTTTCTCTTTTGATCTTCTATTTCTCCATTTAAAGCATCTATTCTGTTTCTTTCCAAATTTTCCCACTTTAGTTTCGCAGACTTTATAAGATCTAAAGCTTTCCGTTCTATTTCCACCTGATTTTTCCTTTCGAGTTCTAAAGTTCTTTTTAAAGCCTATAAAAAATCGATCGCTAGTAACCAATATTATATTTGAATTAATGTGATCAGAAATATTACCGAGCATTCTGCAATGCTGTTGGCCAAATCTCTTTCTAAACGATCTCGAACGTTCTGCACGCTTTCTAATTTTCTGCATTTTTCGTACAACTTTGTCTCTAAACTATTTTTTTCGCTTAATACGTCTTTTTGATTATTCAGTTCCCTTTGCAAAGAGTCGATATCTTTCAACAAATGTTGTACTCTCTCGTCTTTGACAGTAACATTTGGTAGTACTTTGTCATTAGAATCTAATCGTAGACATCAATTAATGTAGAAAACGCAGGAATAAAAAAAATTTGGAGTATAAAAAGAAAATTTAAAGAGTGTTGAAGGGATATTATCTATGCATACGTAGGGTGTCCTATTCACATAAAAATGAAAACATATAACACAGAACCAGGAAGAAAAGCTATATATTAAATAGAGTACAAAAAGCTGTAACATAAAAGGAATAGTCTACTGAAAGAGGGGAAGGAATGACGAAAAATGTAAGAAAATAGATTGTACGCAATAAATATTAATCTACTTCCACCGAATTCTAAATAAAGAAACAGCAACAGAACAGATAAATATAGCTGGAGATTAATGAAATAAAATTAAGATTGGACTTAAACCCCAAAATATCTAAGATTGATAGAAATAAAAAGAAGCATGAAATCAACAAAAATGTCAAAGATGAGAGACAAAGTAGTTATTTTATTAAAAGAAAAAATTATCTAAATAGACTTCAGAAGACTTGTGAAGAAAAGAATAGTGAGGAAAATTTGTATATTATAAAAAAGTATAATAATAATAATAAACACAAAAGTAACTACAACCAGGAATAGCGAAGAGTTTATAAAATTTTCTTTGTATGTGTAATACAGAAATTAATTTAAGGTCGTTGAATAAAAATACAGAGAAAATCTCGTTAAGGAGAACAAAGCCTTAGTAAAGCATTTTCATAAAACATACCTTTATCCTGTGTTTCTTTTATGTATGTAAACCCCACAAATGGCAAATTTCTTCCACTGAATTGAGTTTTACTTTTGAAATTTTCAATGTCGGGTTGACTTTTCCGTTTCACAACATCCGAAAAATTGCTAGTATCATCAACAGATAAGACTTTAGGAACAAATGGAGGAACTTGGTCTTTCAGAGTGTTAAAGTTCACGTTTTTAAACAGATCATGTTGTATTATCTGTTTATAATCAAGTCGAGAATTCTGATCAGTAATAAGAGCTTTTGTCAGGGAAACATAAGCCTGCGAAAGGACAATGTCTGAAGGATATTTCCAACTGTTTGAATGGTTAATTATTTTTGAATATAATGAAACTGTGCAGGTAGAAACAAAAGGCGTTGTCCCCACTGTTAATTGGTATGCTATTACCCCCAATGACCAGTAATCACACAAGTGCTGTAACAAACATTTAAAAATTATTACGTTTCAAGAAATACCTAAAGTACCTAGATAATACTTTTACATGGGGGGTTGTATTATATGCTAAGTAAATCACTGCACAACCCACGGGCTAGAATTACTAATAGAAGAACAGCCCCTGCGACATACACTATAGTGTCTTCAGCCTTTTAGGAATCGTGAGAATGAATCGGTGGAGTTTGAAGAAAGAAAGATGATATGGACAAAATGAGACAAAAGAGAACTGAAAGATTATTATCTGTAGAATAATTATTACTCCAGCATTTGCCTACATGGTTCAAAGAAACCATGTCTCGCGTTTATAATGCCTACATTGTAAGTCGACCAAACCTGCGCCCATTTTTAAAAGTTTGTGGAATATAGGGGTGGATCTATTTGATACTATTCTAATAATATCATAAGTTTGAGCTTATGCTTAAATATAAATTCAAGCTAAAAGAGACCACATTTTCTTCTTTACTAACATGCTGCAACACTAAAAGATTAAGACGATGAGAGGTGCTGTATCAAATTAATAAAATGATAACAGAAACATTTGTGCTATAGAGAAAAACATGACCCCCTTTCCATATTTATGTTTTTAATTAGGTTTTTCTTATTCCTTCCCTGAAGTTTTTTCATTTAACATAATTTCTTTACTTGTATGTNTATATAAAAATAGAAACGTCACTTAAACCAATTATTTTGTTCAGAATTAATTTTTTTTTGGAAAATTACATATTTTCCTTTCTTAGTAAAAAATCACTGTTTAATGAAAATTTTGACTTCATTCATGTAAATCTGATATAAAACACTTACATTATAATTTGACTCCTGTTTATATTTGTTGTCCATGCTTTGAAGTACCTCTGGAGCAACATAATCAGGTGTTCCCACTGGTAAACTGTCACTAACAACACCATTCAAAGAAGTAAGTTTAGTTGAAGATCCAAAATCAGCAAGCTTTATATGACCCAAACGATCTAAAAGGATGTTATCTGGCTTGATGTCACGGTGTACATACCCCATGGAATGCAAATCATGAATTGCGATAATCTGACATCACAAACAAACAGTTTACAATTAGTACATTGATTACTCTGCCAATTTTTTAAAAGTGTAGGAAATAAATGATTCTAAATACTCACAATTTCTGACAAATAAAATGTGGCTGCACTTTCTGGAATAGTACCACCTTGCCTTCCCAGCAGCCCTAACAGATCACCTCCTGAATGGTACTCCATTGCTAAATACAAATACATACTATCCTGAAATGAGTACTGTAATGTTGTATGCCACGCAGACTGTGTTGATGCCATTATATTTCGTTCTTCTTCAAATGAGGCACTTTTCATATCTAAACACTCAGATTTTTTAATAGATTTTAACGCATAATAGTCTCCAGTTTGCTTTTCTTTAACCAGATGCACTTCTCCAAAATGACCTCTTCCTATAACTGCCTTAATTTCAAAGTCGTATATATTCACTCTCATGTTTTTTAATTCACTCATAACTTTTCGATACTTATTGACAAAGGTCAGTATATTTTTATCGTTTTTCTTCAAATGCTCATTATTGCATTCGTCATAAAGCACAAACAAAGCATCTAAAATGTTTTCTTTATAAATTAAACTTGGAACTTTAGACGTTTTCCCAAGAAGTTGGGCATTTAATCGACTGGCTCGTGTGTTAATTGATTCTGTTATTAGCTCCATATTTGTTATCTTTTAAAAACTTTTAATTATAAATAAGTTTTGTAAACAAACCATAAAACCGTTACATGTTTAAAATGTTAAAAGGAATAAGCGATAGAGGTTAGTTAAAACAAAACCGTTTACCGGTTTTGAATGCTTTATTCTCATTGGTTACTCCACTAATCCCACAGAAGCTGAATGTAATCCTCGAAGGTATGTTCATTAATATGAACGCTCATGATCAATATTGTATTGAATTAAGTTTTTAGTTTTTTGCTTATGTTTTGTAGTCATCTATACATTATAATTTGTCCTTGCCCTGTTTGCAATCGCTAGTTCATTTATATATTTTAACTTTACGTAATTGTAGCACCTTCTACTGATTTCTCTTATTAATGATATTATTTTTAAATAGGTTCATTTTATTGTATGTGTAGAATTCGTATTCAATTTGGTCATTTTTAATTACCTGAATTGCAGTTTTTGGGTAGTGTATATTGCTTATGTTTTTTAAACCAGTGATTTTGTGCTGATCATCTGAGGATGTAATCTTACTTAAGTTGTACATTCTGTTAATACTATTTTTGTGTATTATTTCTTTTTCCTTTATTGCATTTTCTCTAGCGCGCTTTCCCATGCTATTCTATTATGTCATGCTGTATCACTGTGTAGACTAGTCTGTAGTAGATTTGTAGTATTGTTATACGGTTTAATTTGTTACATAAGAGGATTTTTATATATATTAGTTTTAGATTTCAATCAATCCTAAACTGAGATTAGTGCCACTGAACACCATTAATAATTTTTGTATATTTATTTATCTGTAGATTTAGTTTTGACTAGCCATAGACATATATTAATGAACGTGCCGTAGCTGTAGTGCCATCTCTTTCATGACACGCTCATACACTATAGTGAGAGAGATAGATATTGTCCGAAACTTCGTTTCATCTTTTTCTTTTGTTGTACCACAATTCTGACCGCTAAAGCACGTCTATTAGTAAACGTCGATGGACTTAGCCAAGGAATAGCTTATCTATGGTCTTAGTAAAGCATCTGTGGTAAAGTATATCTATGGCATACTCATGGCACGATCATGTTATCTGAACTGGCACCCGATATACATAATCTTCTGATTTAAACTTTACCAATAAATTGCGCATCGTTTGCAGATTCAAGTATCATAGTTGCATAGAATACATAGACAAATATTACTATTGTTCATTGATATTACTAATACGCGTGCGCCATTGTGAATCATAGATACGATCATTGAAAGAAAAATTTAGTATTATTTGTAATTATTAATAAATAATATAAAAACAAACTCCGCTTACCATAATAGTTTAATCTTTAGGCACAAATGACACGCAATCAATTTGCCTCAATTAAATTATCATATCTTCAGTAGTTTTTGAATAAATTAACATTTAATTTCCACCTGCACCCAAAACAATTTTTCTTTCTTTTTAACAGAATTAATAGACGCATAATTATAATACTTACATATTTAGAATCTGCAAACGAAGCACAATTTATTAGTAAAGTTTGAATCAATGGATTATTTATGTCGGGTGCCAGTTTCACAGGAATTCACGTTGGATAAGGCTCGATGATGGCCCTTTGTATATCTATTATCTATGATCTATGTCTATGATGATGGCATCATAGATAGATGGCATGCTCCAGCATGCTTTATGACAAGGCATTCTGACTACATATAATCACATTTAAAAAATATTTTTTGAATAATTCCTTGCGTAATATCACAGAACGAAATAGTGCTGTGCAGTTTTCAATTCAGTTTTTAAAAATGAAATCAGTATATTTACAAGATTACCTTAAGAGAAATTGGTTGGTCATAGGTATCATTTCTTGTATAGTTTTAGCAAGAGCTTTTCCATCAATAGGAGCCAAAGGAGGTTTGTCTTCCTGCGATTGTATTTTTTAACTACATATATGTATAAATTAAATTCGAGTTTAGGTTCTTTGAAACCAGAGTATTCAGTAAAATATGGAGCAGTGGCAGTAATATTCTTAATTAGTGGTTTGTCTCTGCAAACAGATAGCATTTTTGATACATTCCATCAGTATAGACTTCATATTTTTGTACAATGTTTTACTTTTCTCTTTATTCCAATATACACAAGTCTATTAGTAAGTATATTTGAAAATATTCTACCAGTTGATTTATGGATTTTAAAAGGGTATGTATATTTTAAGTAACTTAAAAATAAGTAAGTTATGTTGTATCTGGTAGTTTTTTCCAGACTCTTAATAGTAGCATGTATGCCCCCACCTGTATCAAGTGCTGTAATATTAACAAAAGCTGCCAGAGGGAATGAAGTAGCAGCAATATTTAATTCAGTATTGGGAAGTTTTCTGGGAATAATTATTACACCACTTCTACTTCTTCTTGTTGTAAGCTTTCAATTACATCATTATTAATTTGCAGTACTATAGGTATGTACCTGTAGCTATTGAGATTTGTTTCATAATTATCAGGAGAAAAGGCCATTATTGTTAACAATGGTTCAGTTTGTTAAAAATTATTATTGGCAAGATCGATTTCAATTCAAAAAAGTTATCTGATTTGGTAGCAGGGCTGTCAATTTTCATTTGTACTATTTTATTGTACGCAGTGACTAGTGAGCCGATAACGGCTTTTCATGAAAGAGTCGGGAACCACGTCCGTGATGTCATATAAAGACTGTTCTATAGTTGTTAGCAGTATTAGCTCAGTGGGATGGTTGCATGGCTGGTAGATCAGTAGCCCAGGTTCAATTCGCTGCCAATATACTTCTGATCATTTCTTAATTTTGTTCATTTATTATTTACTAATTTCTTTTTTAACGGTTGTGCTTAGGATAATAAGGTTACGGTACCAAAAGGTAACGCTCACATTCAGTTAAAAGGCAATAGTGTCTGGAAAGTAGTCCTACATAGTACCCCATTCTTACTGGTTGTGAACCGTGTTATACTGTCTGAACCATATTGTAGAATATCTAATGAAATACTTAATCCAAAAAATCTATCACTTCTCCACCTGCTAGTGGTCTCTTAAACTCTTGTATAACTTTATTGTTTGTTTTCCCATGTAATACTCCCTTATCAGGAAATTTATAACTAAGAAACTTTACTTTTCCTTTGGAAAATTCGCATTTCTTTTCGTGTAATATAAAGCTAAGTCCTTTTTTGATTTTTCGTAATATCTTTCATAATCTCTTTTCGCCAAAAATCACAATATCATCCATAAATGCAACTGCTCCTTCATACTTCCAGATTTTGACTAATTGTTTCATTTTTACTTTTTATCTTCTTTATATTGTTATTATTCCAAGTATCTTTATTGATAATTGATAATTTTCTATCATTTTCTCATTTTTCCTTTTACTATTACTTGTACAAAAGGTATATTCACTAGGACTTTCATCTAACACAATTACACTTCTTTTTGTTTTTATTTTCTTTGTAGCTTTCAAATTTTGATTTGCACACTTTTATAGCATGACCCTCTCTATTACGCTTTTTATAAGTCGATAATTTTACCTGGGCAGTTTTTATCAGTACTGTATCTGTTACATGTTCCGTTACTTTTATCCAGATCTTTGATTATCTTTCTTGTGACACTGTTGTCTTCGATTACATTTGCTTGTCAATCTGAAGCATCAAGCGATCTAGCTTTGTCAAGATTCTCAAGTTTTTCAATTAATCTTTGGCTTAAATGCTTTGAAGTACCTACATGCATTAACTACTTGGCTCTTCAGCATCAGCAAAATTAAGTCTTAAATTGAGTGGTAAACTGATCCACTAATCAGGTTTTTGTGACATTTTTCTGAAAATGTATCTTTCATAGTATGATTTACTAAGGTTCAAAATGTTTGTTAAATATCTTTAGTGCTTGTTGGTTTTTGTTAATTAGTTGAGGTTGTTCAGGAAGGGAATGTGGTACCGGAATTGCTAACGTATCGAATATATTCTGCACATCCTCTACAGCACAGTGTAAGAATAATGTCTTCTTTGTTTCGTTGTCGGTAAACCTCATATCACCAGTTGTAGAATATTTAACGAAATACACTGATTTGTTACTTTCTTTCTTTTAACTTGTATTCCACTTTTACAGTATACTCTTATCCATTAGTATTCACACTAACTCCATTCTATTCTATATCTTGTCACAATTCGCGCCCTGTCAATTTAATGTTAGTAGCATAGATAATAGATAAGTAAGGGTTAGTAGCGTTCAACGTTCATATTTTCTACACATACCACGTCATATCTTACAGCGGTAGGGAACGTGAAACCTCCTCTTTTGCGGTCTTTATGAATGCTAATCCTTATCCTTGCATTAATTAATATTTAATAAGAAAGATCACGACAATTTGAAAATTAATAGAAATAGATTAAGAGCGTGCTGCCATTTGTTGAGCATAACAAGAATTACAATGCTGCAGTATTGCAGCCTGACGTCTTCCGTATGCTGAAGTTTAATTTCAAATTGATAAAAATATACAAAAGATATAATAATTTCCCAACTTGCATTTATAGCAATATAGAGATATACCAATTTATAAGGCTTTCTTTATTACTGTCTAACTTAAACATGACTTCTAATGGTAAAAAGTTTGCCATTGCTTATTATCAACGCAATGGCGTTGGAAAAGCCACAAAGAATACGAAAATACAGTCTTTCCTTTCTATAGCGAAAATTACGAAAAAACTCATTTTAACTACATTGCAAAGTAGTAGAGAATTGGAAAACCTGTAACTTAGCAGCTATGAATGTGTAATTTAATTGTACTCTTTGATGGATGTTATAACATCCTTTATCTTGCTATATTAACATTAAGATCATCATTAATTAATCTAATCTTTCATTAACTGTAACTTTGCGTATAATTACTAAGTGCCCATTTTGTCCCGCTTAGTGAAACAAGATGATCCACCAATTAAAATAACGAAATGTTTGCATAATACTTGATGTTTATTAAAAAAAAAAAATATGTACCTGAAGAGATACGGTATGAAATAATGAGCTAAACAGTAGAAGAACCAAACACTTAACTCTTTTTACAATATTTTACGACACACTTTCTTTACCAAAGGCTTGTACATCATCAATTTCTTCCACCCCTTAACATGCTTCGTATACCCATTGAAGATATCCACTGCATTTAATCCATTCTTCCCTGCTTACAAAGTTGGCGTATGATTCGCCACAAATCAAACATTCTGTATTACTTTCCAACTTAGAACTTGAAGTCGATTCGTCCTTGTTTTTTCCAGATTTATTTTTGAAGGTCATTTTTTAAACTCCCCCTATCTTTATTATTGTCTTTTCCTTGCGTACCGGTTTATTTTTCACCCTTTTCTCAGATTTTTTCTTTCAATATCTTGTTTATTTTTATAGGGACTTCTGGTTAATATGACGGTTTTCTCTTTCTTTCGGTTTGTGCTTCTTAAAAATTTTGGTTTTGCTAAAGGTCAAATATCAGTTGCTTTTATTTTAAAAAAGAATTTTTGAATGATATTGTCACGTATTTAAACTCCTTCTCACACTATAATTATTTGTACTAACTCAGGTCGATCTCGCGTCGTCTATTTATAGAGACTTCACGTTTTCTAGGATTTTCCTGTATATTCCGTTTAGAAACTTGACCTTTTTTGCCACCATGTATGTTGGGTTATGCCTACATACATATGACAATATGTTGTCCAGTGCCAATAAACGAACATTGACTGTTTTCTGAATTTGGGTTTTTGCTAGTCCCAGGAATAGGTTCTTTGATACTCTCCAGGACTAGTTGATCTTAATTCTTGATCTTCTTCTGTATTTGGTGTTGTAACACACCAATCAGGAGGAACTTCTTCGAAAACATCAGCGGGTGCAAATTCATTATCGGACAAGATATACCTATCAAACAGGATGATACCTACCCCCCTTCTTAAACATATTTAAAGCATTCTGAGGAGTCTAATCTTTTAATTATGCTTCACAAAATAGTTTAATAATTTGAAAGACAGAGACAGTACGTCCAGAGTTGCTATTTAACCAGTTTTCTAATACTTGATTATGATAAAGACCAAGTCGATGTATAAGTTCCTTATCCAAGGGCTGAAGTTTGGAGGACGTATGATGAGGCAATCACATAAGGACGACTTTATTTCTTAGAATGACTCCCACGACCAATTAAGATAAGTGGAGCAGGATCTTCATTGGTAGGTCAAACCAAATCGAAACCATATCTATTGCCATCAAACCATAAGCATTGCAGGAGAATATCGATCTTGGGAGCTCGATTTTTTAATTCCTCCTTCATACGTTTGCTCAAAAAAGTGAACAATGACAAACAAAGTTACAAGTTTTCAAATACGTGTTTTTATCCGTTTTCTTGTTTTTTTTTCTGCGAAAATGCTTTGATTAGATTAATTAAGAGCTTTTAAACTTTTGTATTGTAGTCAAAACAAAAATCTTCGTAATTTTCGCCATGGAATATTTATGGTAGTTTTAGTTAGCCGCTTTCGGAAATGTCTTGGTGGAATTGATGGTAGCTATAGAAAATTAACTGTGAGGGTGAACTCTAGTTTATCGTTGCCGTTCCAAGAAACTGATTCTTGTTCAGTCAACTGATTCGCGGAATTAAACTCTAACCCGCAAATAATTATAATGTATTAATGTTGTAAATTACCTACGCATTTTATTTATTGTGTCAAATGTTCGGTAAGAATTGGGTCATGTGTGAGGTGATTACTTGAACGCCTTCAAAGGATGATTGCATTTAGCGCTGTGATTTATACTTCGTTTAGTTTCTGTAGCGATGTGACCTTCAGTTTGACCGGCGCAAAGTAGAAAAGAACAGCACTAGACCAGAAAAGGAAGCAGACAACTCTCGGCCAAACTCTTAACCGGTGAGGAGCGTATAAACCGTACAGTATTGCACGGAAAAATTGCCCATTTTATCCACTACAATTACATTGCTCAAATGTGCTATTATTGGTACCAATTACTACTGAAAATACCAACGAGATGTTTATTTATATTTGAAGACGTATTAAAGGCTTTAACGCTTGTTTTCGACTCGCACTACTATTCATGATTGAACAAAACTTTTGGGAGGTACTGTATGAAAATGTATGTTTAATGAACAAGAGTCGAGAGTATAATGAGTTATTTTCTCCCTACCTACGATTTTGCCAGCGCGCATCCAAAACTTTGGAAGGGGCACATCGCTAGAGAAAGTAAATGAAGTATAAGATCTTATAAAAGATAAGTATGTGATCGTGGTAAAGTTGAGTTTATCAAAACTAGCCCGAATAAACTCAAACTGTTAGGTGACGTTTTTGAACTTTTTAACATGTCGAAGTAGTTAGTAACTTTAATATTTGAAGCATTGTAGTTCAGTCGATTTGATTAGCTATAATTATTTTTATCACGAATGCTGTGGTCATTTTGCAAACAAAACAAAATATTTTTCTTATTTAGCTGAACGTGTCAACAAATGTACCGTTATTCAGTACAATATTTCAACTAAGTGGTACCGTTTTGTTGCCGTTGGTCATTGGACAATTTATTAAAAAGTCCGTTGCATATTTCAAACGAGTACATCCTGCATTAAGCAATATCAGCCAGTGTGCTCTTCTCTTAATCATTTATTGCACGTTTTGCGATGCGTTTGTTATGCCGGACATTGGGCTTCGTACAGTTGACATTTTTATGACAGTAATTCTAGGTAAGTGCAAATAACATTGTTTTTAATCGTTTGCTAGACTTAAATTAATGCCAAAAAGAACACACATAGGAGGAATAACTGCAAGACTTGCTTAAGGATGTTTGGGAGGTACATAAAGTTAAAAATTCGTGATTAATTAGGTTTTACAGCATATCATGAGGTAAATAAATACTATCTATACTAAAAAAAAAGTTTACGGTTTGAGAGAAAATTTGAAATTTGACCAAAAACTTTGAATAAAATAAGAAAAAAACGAATAATATGGAACTGACTTTTGGTAGTGAATATGCCTTGATTTCAACTTCGAAACAAAAAAATATTTAGTTTCAATCTCTATTAATNATGAAGGTCTAGTCAGAGACATATTAGAGGCAGAAACAGGAGTTAGGAGGGGTAGAGGTAGGCCTAGATTAGATTACTGTTCGCAAATAGTTAAGGATGTGGGATGTTCTAGTTTTAGGGAAATGCGAAGTTTAGCTCAGGATAGGAAAAAGTGGAGGTACGTGTCCAACCAGTCTTAAGACTGATGACCTTATGATGATGATGAAAGTTTAAAGTTTTCTTTTGAGTATCTTTTCTGTGTAATTTTAACTGAGACATTTTATGACTTCATAAACCAGTATGTTACATTGCATTACAGATATCTATTACTGATTACATCCTTGATCCTAATAGCATGTATCCTACTTGTAAGTTCTCTTTAAGTTTTGAACAGGTTCCAGTATTCCAATTCTACTTAATTTGTTTAGGAGAATCAGATGATTTATTATGTCAAATGGCTTCTTCCCTTTGGTTTTGAATTGTTCTGGGGTGTAAGGGGACTTGTTCAGGAAAGGGTTTATTGACGTCAAAGTTTGTGAAAATTTATCTTCTTTCACTCATTCGAGCTTCTTTCTTGATGACAGAACTCTAGTTTGAGGTTACTGAAAGAATTTGGTTATAAAATTGAACTTCCACCAAACTTCTTTGTAGGTAAACGTTAACTTTAAAATTCTGTCAGTTTTCGTCGTCTATATCATTAAAGTTGTACTAGTTGTACCTTACTGCTAATTTATTTTTTATTTTTTAGTATTAATTGAAAAACTCTCATTACTGGCCATTAGTTTCATGTCCACAAAATATTTCCACTGTTTTACCAATGACGATATTGTTGCCATTTTGTTTTGTTCAACACACAAATCGCTCACACTAGGTAGCATGAAAATGATTGCAAATTTGGAACAATACTTCAGTAACCGAATATTTTTCATAGGCATTCCAATTTTGAGGATAATGTTCAGTGGTTTTCAATATGCTGGTAGAATTATGTTGCCGCTGCTCGTTTATCATCCGGTGCAGATTATTTTAGGTGGTTTTTTCGTTTCATCCTTGAAAGACTGGGTCCATTCCGATAGAAGAAAAAGAAGACCATTCGTTTGATTCTAAAGGCTTCGTCGTCTTTTTCGTCACATGTTTAATTTTGAATTTCCATTTATTTTTGACATAGGATTTAATGGCAACGACAATCAAAAATTCCATTTATTAATTTTTTGCTTGACGTGTACCTAGTACATACCTACTTACATTTATTAATTCATTTTTAATCAAATAACTAATTTCAAATTAGAAGTTCATTGAATAAGTATTTGTACTAATAATAATTTTACAAAACCGTTAAAATAGTTGTTACTTGTCTAAAGACTACCTAATTTTTTATCAATAGAACTTTGGAGGCACATTGCAGGAATTGAATTAACAATAAATAAATAAATACTTAGGCATTGCACTGTAATTTTTTTAACAATGTCCTTTCCCCACATCCTTATTTTTTTTAATTACTTAACATAAAATTTATGAGTAATTGGTGTTTCTGTTTACCCGAACACAGTAAAGTGTGAAGTGAGTGACATTCCTTATGTTAAAGTTTCTTAGGCAGATATTCGAGAACTTACTGAGTTGTAAGTGGAATACTTGCATACGCGTTAAATTAAAAAGGCGTGTTGATTAAATTGGGGTGGAAAATAGAATCACTTGGACTATTGCAGCAAAGTTGACTAACTAATATATATTTACAAACAGTATCTTCAAACTTAATAACGAAAAGTAGTAATTAACTATACAATTGAATCGATGGAAGTGTCTCTGTTGGTGATTTTTTTTTCGTGGAAGAGGAGAAATCTTCAAAAAACACCCAGCCGTCCGTACGAGCGGGTAGTGAAAGTGCTGGTGGTGAAAAGAAAAATTGTGGATGTTTCATTCCCACCAGCCACTAATGCTGGTGGGCGGGCAGTACCTCCGAACTACGCCGGAAGGTAGGAAGGAAGGGTGGGTGGTGGTTCGGGTGAGAAAGATGAGACGGACGAAATGAAGACAGAAGAGAGTGAAAGATTATCTGTGGAATATTACTGCCTCAGCAATTGCCTAAGTATTCCAAGGAAACCACAGAAAAACTTGGACCAAGGCAGACGGACCCGGAATCGAACCGGCGCCCTCCCGAATGCTAAGCAATGATCTAAACCTCTAGGCAATGCCGCTCGGTGCAATTGGTGAAAAAAAAAACTTTTTAACTTTTGAGTGTTTCATTCCCACCAGCCAGTAATGCTAGTGGGCGGGCAGTCCCTCCGGACTATGCCAGAAGGTAGGGCGGAAGGCCCTCTTCAGCCTGGTTTCAGGAATCGTGGGAATGAGTGGGTGGTGGTTCGGGTGAGAAAGATGAGACGGACGAAATGAAGACAGAAGATAATAAAAGATTATCTGTCGAATATTACTGCCCCAGCATTTGCCTATGCGAATCAAGGAAACCACAGAAAAACTTGGACCAAGGCAGACGGACCCGGAATCGAACCGGCGTCCTCCCGAATGCTAAGCAATGATCTAAACCTCTAGGCAATGCCGCTCGGTGCAATTGGTGACCACTGCTTCCCTACTTATACCTAAACTTTAAATTAGAAAATAAAAACAAGGGTGTTCCAAATGCCACCATTGGTTATTAATCTTTTTCAACTATTCAGTGGACTCTTACAAGGCGGGGCTTCAAACCTCGAAATATTTCCAGAGAGGGATGTTAATTATCTGCGAAAATCGAAGACATGAATAAGCAACAACTGGCATTTTCAAATCGTAAAATTCATAAAATAAACACCCCCTAGTAAAATGGGTAACTGTTATTGGGGATATCGTAAAGGATCCTTCCAGATTGATTTCTGCGCCGTTACCTCAATAAACTAATTTAACTGATGATACGTTACTTAGCAAAGTCGAAAATATTGTGAAAGAATGAAAGTACACAAAATTTACAATCCGATTGAACGTGAACTAACATTTACCTACAACTCTTATCCTTCCTTATGAGTAGAACATTACAGCTGTTACTGGTGGAATAGCGGAATATGTCTATCAGGGGAAACCTACGAATTTCGCGTTTTTTTTTTTAGTTGTTGAAGTTGCTGACTTTTACTGAGTTTTTATTATTGTATTAAAACCATTTAAAGTATTTTGTTATATTACCATGCTGACGTCATCCAGCCCATTTACGTCATTGTTTGGAGGAAGGTAGGCAGGTAGGTAGGTAGAGGGAGAGTTGAAATAAAAATTCGGACAAGCGTTATATTGGCGATAAGCCCCTTTACACTGCGGAGATTTATCGCATATGAGCCTGCACAAAGAATTTATGTTAATTGCACCCCATCCGGCACGTTTTTGTTCGGAACCCGGAACGAGGAGCGAATCGGCCGCATTAGCCACCACTTGTACAACAACGTCACATAATGGATGACAGACACTGATATCCTTTCTCTCTTTCTTTGTTATGTAGCATTTTTATTACGGGAACAAACCATTCTGTCGAATAAATTAGCAAGGATTTACTACAGCGCCACGTTTTGTGATGGCCTGATTTTTTTTCTGTTTTTTTTTTTTTGTTTTTTGGTTGTTGAATTAAGCGACAGTTGAAACGATTTCTGGTCGATTTTTAAATTGTACGAATTATATACTTACAAAAGAAACGTTTTTGAAACATCTGACTTATTGTAGATACGGAGTTGACGCAGACATATCACCTACATTTTGAAAAACGTGAAAATAATGATATTGTATTAGACATGCAAAAATCTCGGGAATTTTTACTTACTACTAGCCTACTAGGACTTATATAATACGTACGGTCTATTTCAATTTGTTAGAATTGTTACTTTGAAGAAATCTGTGCGAAGATAGAGCAAGACAGAAATAGTTGGAACAAGCTTGAACGAGCAGAGCTCTTGATGGGCGGTCTTAGGAGATCGGCTAGAACTATACAGTACTAGACGAAAATGTTTAGAAATTTCTTAAAACAAAAATGTATATAAATTAACAATAGAAAACAAAGCAAAAGTTTTATAGATGTGTAGAACGTTAAGTTAATTCACTTGTTATTATTTTTGGCTAAATATGNAAATAAATTTAATCTGTTCGGTTAACGAATCTCCATAAAATGACGTGTAAAATCACAATTTTTTAAAATTTCAATAACTTTTTAACGGTTTAGTGAATCGATTTGTAATTTTTACACGAGTTTTAGAATTGAATGAGGAGGAACGTTCTTCCAAATTTTTATTTGTTTCGTAGCATTTTGACATACCTCCCAAACATCCTTAATGTACGGCGCTAGCTGTGTGCTTGGTAGTCCGTAATGCATAAGGTAGTCCTACTCTATTTGCGAAAAAGAAAGGCGAGTTTCGATTATTCGATCGTCTGTAAGTCGACCGAGTTTTCGAGAAGATTGACTCAAGGTAGGAAGGAGAAAAGGAGGATGCCCAGCTAGTCTTTAGGTTGAAGAACTTAATGAAGATGATGATGATTTGAAAAAATTTAAATTGATGTGTAATCGCTCATTGTGTCTTCTGTCCTTTATTAGTGATGATGCTTTTTAGACCCATTCGATTTAGATTCATTAAGTTATTGTTCCTTATCTAGTCTTAAATATTGCATGGAGTTTTTTTCTTCGTAATATTATTTGACCGTTCTATAAGTTTAAGATCTCTGAACAATGTGTTGTATGCCTTAATGTCGTTGTTAATTCTGCTTCTTACTTTAATTTGTACCTTAGTAATAATCACGTCTTTTGTTAATTTTGGCTACATTCGTAATGAGGATTTTTTTTGCCCTGATGAAGCCTTACACCTAAACCGAAACGTTGGTGTGTTGCTTGTTAATTTAATAAAAAAGAACCTTCATCCCAGAGTGCCTGCTTTTTGTTCAATTCTGTACTTTTAGGGAAGAAGTATTAACCAGCATTTAATTTATATCGATTAAGGTTAAGGGTCGGTATGATCGGTAAAAATCATGAAGGTGGATTTATTATTAATATTTAGTGATAGTCGATTTTGAGTTAACCAGTCATATAAATATATTTCTCAATCTAAAGTTTAAATAAAATGGAAGCGGTACTGACAGATCAGTACTGTATGAAAATAAATAAAAGTAAAACTAAAATACTGGTATGCAAGGGAAGAAAAAGTAGGGAAAGAGCGAATATAAAGATAGGAGACGAAAAATTAGAAGAAGTGGCTGATTTTAGATACTTAGGAAGTCAGATAAGTGAGGATGGAAGGAGTAGTAGGGATATAAAGCAGAGGATAGC